CAATTGTTGAATGATAAATGTATGAACAATTTCCGTAGTGTCGGGAAGCCGAAATGTGGGTCGTACGAGTACTATGAAATTTAAGGCGAGTGGTCTGAGCTATCAGGGTCCAATGCTACAATGCTTGAATATATTACTCAAGAGGAGTTGCGTGAAATGCAAAGCAAAGTGAACGTAACTCTGTACGGTTCGACACACAGATGGAGATAGCGCGTTGTAACACGTACAGTAAGCACTCGTTTAAAAAAATTAGCACACAACGGAAACTTAGCACTTCTTATCAATTCACTGTGACAGGTAATTTTTTAGTACAGAAAAAGACGAAAACAGAAAGTTTATAAGCGTTACTTCTTATTATTTTTTTTACATTAAGTACTCACACTTTTTTTTCTTTTTGAAATCGTTTACCTGCACTAAAAATGTATCATGTATAGTGGAATTGTTAACAACACATGTTAATTTCAGATGAACGACCATCCAGACCCGTAATAATTATTCATAGGCCATGCAAATACTTATTCCGTGTAGTATTTGGACCTGCACCACCAAGAGATTTTTTTCCCTTGCACAACCGAGCCGTGATTACTTGTCTTTATAAAATGTGCCGTATGAAAGTTATTGTTTATGAATGTAATTAATTATAGTTAGAAATGTAATTAATTATATGGGTGTGGCCTCCGAGCGACTACGTATCACAGATTGTTTTAGTAGTGGAGCACAACAGGGCTCGCAGAAGGTTTTGTCAAATAATCTTTTGGATGAGACTACCCAATTTGAAAATACGGTTATTTACAAGTAAAATACGAATGTTCTAATTTTAAATGTCCCTTTACATTTTTAAGAGCTTAATTTAATTATCGTTTTTCATTGGAAAATGCATCTGCGTCGGGAACATTTTTGCGGGATATTTTTTACGTAGTACACATAGTAGTATTTGTTTTTACTTTTTCATGTTTCCTGAAACTGGACAAATCGTTTAACATACTTCAAACACACAGACTTCAGCACGTTCCACTATCATTGAGTAATGAAGCTTTCTTCATCTTATCAATTAAGAATAAAAATGCATTATCTTGTATTCCTTTACTCGTTTATAAGCCTGTGGTGTCCATTTGAATGATGCAATTGCATTCTATAACGTTAAAACAATTACATATTTCATTTTGTTCACAATTTTATAACTAATTACTATACTCGTAACAACTTCCTGCATTAGTTCTGTTTAGAGTTTTTGTAATTTTTACAGGTCAAGATCATTTATTGGCATAACATAAAAATACAATATTTATTACCATGGTAAAAAAATTAATATAATAACATAAATTATCATTATCATTAACGTTAAAATATCATGTCATTTGGTATTTAATTATAATTTTTATAATAAAATACCAAAAGAAAAATAAATGACATCAGGGATCTATTTTCTAAATATTATATTAATATTAACTATATTTTATTTATGATTTTATTTGTTTTAGCCTGATTGTATTGTATTGATTATGCTATCTATGTAAATTTGCATGCTATTTACAATCACATGGCAAAACATGTCGTGCTTTAGTAACTGTATCATCCTTATTTGTCCATATTTTAAGCAAATAATAAGTCTTTACCTATGAAATTGCCATTCTGCAGTACTGGCCATTTCAAATCAAAATAATTTTAACTGGCTAACAATTCTAATTTAAAATTATTTTTAATTTAAAGACATTAGCGTTATGTTTTCATCACATTTGAATCTCTCTCGGCATCATGGATTCGTTAAAATTCGAATAATTATGGAATATGAATACTGCCGTGGCAGCAACGTGGCACTAATGACACGCAACATCAGAGGTTTTCCCGCTTCCGTTTTGGAAATTTCGAACTGAAAAATGAACCCCGTTATCATGCGAAAACTTTGGTCGACAAAGACGAATAAAAGGCAATTGTGGAAGTTGATGATACGATCTACGGCTGAATTAGCAGCAGCTATTGACGTTAGTATTAAAACAATATAAATCCATTTGCGTCACATTGCCAAGGTAAAAAAGCTTGACAAAAGGGTGCCCCACGAACTCAATGGTCGCTAGCGCGAAGCACGCGTCGAGACGTGCCTTGCACTGTTCAACAGGCACACAAACGAAGGAATTTTGAAAGGCATTATTACCTGCGACGAAAAATGGATTCTGCTTGACAGTTACAAATGCTCAACAAGTTGGTTGGATCCTGGTTCAGCACCTAAACAATGCCCTAAACTCATACTGCACAACAGACGGTATCCAAGTTAGCTAGAGCTGGTGTTGGGAGCTCTCCGTCTGCCACTGTAATCACTAAACCTTGCGCCTACAGACATACTTTTACCAGAATTTAGATAACTTTTTGCAGGGAAAAAATTTCAATACTGAGAGGCCTAAATAAAATGCCTTTGAAGAATTTGTTGGGGGAAAGAAATCAATTGGACGGGAGTCATTCAAGAATATCAATAAACTGCCACCGCGTGAGTACTTTGATTAATGGAATTAAAAAATATAGAAAAAATTACGTTAATTTATTTAATAAAAACGGCAATTTCATGTGTAAAGACCTAATATATCTTATAAATAATAGATAAATAAATATCATTTAGTCCTACTTCCGCGGAACCGTGCCACGAACGCTGGCTGTGTTTTTTCGCTGAGCCCTCTTTTCGCTAAACACGGCAACTGTTTATATAAAGAACTTTAACTAAATAACAAGCTCAATTAAAATACAATCCTTCACTTTCCCGAGGTAAAAGGCGTTTAAGCCCCGTAGACCGCTGTCAATACAACTCTATTCACCAAATTATCTAAGCGTTTCTTTTGTCGCCGTGGAGAGTTTTTAGAAAACAAAGTCAATAAGATTATCCTATATATAACGTTAATAAGACTATATACAAAAAGGAAATAGCTACCTGGCCCCAAGAATTAAATTACGATGACACTGAAAAGTTACTTACTAATCTAGTCTAAATACTAACAGAAAAGTTAAATCTATCCAAATCCTAAAGGTAATTTCTAACCCAGTAACAAACTGGTAAACAAAAGCACGCACACACATGCTCATGTACACATGCACACACACAGCCACAAACATACACTTACACAAACATGCACTTACACCCCCCCCACACTCAAACCCCCACCCCACACACACACACGCGCGCGCGCACAGACGCATGCGCGCACACAAACACTAATATTAGCACTAGATTTTAATATATCTTAAATATTAGTTAGATAATAGAAGGTACATTATGTAAATTACAAATATTGTACGTGTACATGATAAAAGTATTGTAATTACAACCATATGGCAGAGACCTGGCGTCCTGAAATACGGGCGTATAGCCTAGCTTAGACACCAGTCTTCCACAGTATAACATTAAAGCGTAATACTTTAATATTATGTACTGTAATTCTGTAATATTGATGGTGAGAAAATAAATCATTATTATTAGTACTAATATTATATATATATATATATATATATATATATATATATATATATATATATATATATATATATATATATATATATATAATATGAAAAGATACAAATATAAAACGGTTAGAAGGCAAACGTTTTGCAAAGAGGCATAGAACGTTACGCTTCGTCGCCCGAGCGTTGACGAATGGAATCCGTAATGGGCACGTGGAGAGATATGATGCAGATGCGTTTGAATCGCGTGCTAAGTATTTCCATTCAATAAAGGCGTATTTGTTACGCATTTTCAAAGACTAAATTAAACTCGCAATGCCTACAGAACTAGAAGTACTGGAAATAATTTGAAAAGTCCCTATGATACAATCGATACTAAATTAACCTGTTTTTAACTTTAAAAGTACGTAGACTTTTTAAGTTAAAAACAGGAAGAGCGACCGGGGAAGGACCACGCTCTCATAGAATACCAGCGTCAAATAGCAGCTTAATGCTGCTGTATACGTATGGTGCGTGTAGAGAACCGGAGACCCTTTTTACTGGAAAAGAGGAATTCCATCTTAGCCCTCAAGGCTGACAACGCATCTTCATTTTGATTCGCAAACAAGGATAGATGTAGATGTCTATGGGCCACAGCAACCACTTACCATCAGGTGGACTGTGTGCTCGCTTGTCACCCTTTTCCTATAAAAAAAAAGACTGGACTACCGACGCTTGCGTGACCTAGTGGACTGAGCTCCTGTGTGTAGAAAAAGTACAAATTGTTGTATTAGTATTATACCACATGCCAGCGACACTGCATTGATAAACCCGTTCTTATCGAATGACCCTGTAGAAACAATGTAAAAATATCCATAACCCCACATCATCCCGTGAGTGGCGTAACAAGCGAAAGAGGGAAACAACTCAGCAGATTGGCAGCGTCATCCTATTAATGACTAAAAATAATTATAACTACGCTATAAGCGGGTTGGCAACCGCTGTTTATTATAAACTATGTAATAATAAACAGCGGTTGCCAACCCGCTTGCCAAGCGTAGCAACTATGGCAAAGATCCCCCCAATGGTGCAATCTAGGGGGGAAGCCATCAGCAGTGACTCTTATCCTCTCTACTCTTACGACGCTCACAGGATATAAATGAGATGATGGATTCTCTTACGCTGTTACCACCGGGTTACAACCACTTCTCTGATTTTTTTCAATCATTCATTATAGCTTATAAAAGCCAAATGTTGAACATAGACCCCCATACTATACATAATAGTTTTCGCTATGTCGATAGCTGTCGCTATGTGGGCTATAGCTATATTATTAATAATAATAATAATAATAATAATAAATTGGCGTAGGGAAGTGACGACCCCATCGCCCGTTGACGTGACGGTTATGTGACAAAACCGCTACGTCCGCGCAGTCAGTCAGCACCTTGCCAAGAGGTGTGAGCGCCGTGCCTCGGCAAAAATTGATGGTGCAAGGGCCCGCTTGTGCATATGGCCTCACCATGAAACGGCGCCGGGTCTGGGCGTCTCCCGTTAAATGACGCCCTGTATGGATGATGGAACATAGAAGATTGCGCAAAGGGCCGCTGCCTGGAGGTCGTCAGGGCGCGTCTGGAGCTGGCGCTGGACGCGACAGCATGCGAACCGCCAGCCGAGCGCGAGGTGCTGCACGACCACCCTGCAGCCCCTCGCATCCATCATCCCCACCAGCTTGCTTGGTGTCGGCAGGGTCTTCGCAGGCCCAGCAATCGGCACCCGCCACTGGTGGAGTACGCCGCATGCGATGGACCATCAATATGAATTCAAACGCATTGCGGGCGTATTTTAGGGCGAAAGGGGGAGAAATTGGAGGTTTCGCGTATCGGGCTAGGATGCATCGTCTTTTTACTGAGCTGGAGCCATCTATTACTGTCACCGAGCAAAACCTGGCAGACCGAGTTCGGTATATCTTACGCTCAAATATATTTGATGGCGCCGAACTCGAACGGCTACGACGTGAGGCTGTTCCCTCATCAAATGAAAACGCTACGACTGAGGGTGCGGTGCCACAAGTTGCAGAACAACCCGCACACGTGGATGCCGCCGAGAATACCCCAGTGGTTGCTGATTCAAATGATGATGGAACATTCACCCAGGAACTAGAAATAGAGCAAATGAGGAGTACATTGGAAGAGGCGATTATGGAAACGCGCAGTACGCCTCTCGAAAATCGACCGCGACTTCCCCGCATAGCCCTAAGCAAGCGGAATCGGGCTGTCGTGAGGGCTCTGAACCCAATGCTGGTGACCTATTTGGAAGCCAGCCGGGACCTTTGCGAGACGGACTCAATTCTCTTTGGCGCCGCACTGGCAGTCTGCCGTATTATAGGCGCCAAACTTTCCACGGCTGGACGCACTACTGGACAAAGTAGTGCTATCCCAGCCTGGAGAACAAGAATTGAAGAACGTATCGCAAAGGCTAGGGCCCTCATCGGCAGACTGATATGCTTCAGGTCAGGCAATACCAGGCCAAGGATTGTGCGCACCGTCAGGATGGCGTTTGCTGGGACAAATGTTAGTTTGTCCCAGCCGGATATAATGCAAAAACTGACGGAGCGCATAGACGACCTGAAGCAGAGAATCGCTGCTTGGGGAAAGCGAATTCGGCGATATACCGAGAGGTCGACACGGTTCAACCAGAATCGTCTCTTCCAGAGTGATCAGAAGAGGCTCTATAAATCATTGGAGCGACCAATGGTAAGTGGAACGGGCCCAGTACCGAATCAGGCCGACACGGTCGCATTCTGGCGCAGCCTGTGGTCAGAGCCCGTAAACCACAACGAGGGCCCTTGGACGGAAGTTGTGGCGAGTCAGTGTGCGGGTATTACGCCCATGGACCCCGTCACCATAACGCCGGATGACGTAGCTGAGGCGGTCCGTAGGGCCCCGAACTGGAAAAGTCCGGGACTCGACGGGCTGCATCACTACTGGCTGAAGGGGTTCGTGGTGTGTCACACTGTGCTCGCCCGACAGTTTCAAGAGGTTCTCAACCAGAAGTCGCTCCCGAGCCTCTTCACTACTGGGATCACCCATTTGGTTCCTAAAGGCCAGAGTACCACAGACCCGAGCAAATACCGCCCCATCACATGTCTACCGACCATATATAAGACACTAACATCCATTTTGAGCGCGAGAATCACTCGTCACCTGGACTCAAATCAGGTGATGTCGCGCGCTCAAAATGGATGTCCGGGGCGGCGGTCGTGGAACCAAGGAACCACTCCTCATTGACGCGGTCATTGGCAAAGTGGTGAAACGCAACCGTCGGAACTTCTCCGCCGCCTGGATAGACTACAGAAAGGCATTCGACTCGGTGCCCCATACATGGCTAAAGAGAGTCCTCGAACTGTACAAGATAGACTGTACAGTTAGAGACTTCCTCGAGCAGTGTATGGGGCAGTGGAGTACGATCCTTTGTCATCTGGGCGAGCGGATGATGGCTGCGGAGAACCACATAAGGATAAGAAGGGGTATCTTCCAGGGCGATTGTCTGAGTCCAATATGGTTCTGCCTCTCTCTGAACCCTCTCAGTACCTTACTGGAGGGCTCCGGGAGGGGATTTCAGCTACGGAAAGGAGGGACAAAAGTGACCCACCTTTTCTATATGGATGACCTCAAGTTATTCGCCTCCAGTCGCTCCCATCTTATGGAACTGCTAAACATCACTTGTGAATTTAGCAATTCCATTGGAATGGAGCTGGGGACGGATAAGTGTGCGGTCCTCCATGTTGAGAGGGGTAGGGTTGCTAACTCTGAGGGCATAGACTTATCTATGCCCGTCAACTTAAGGACCCTTTCCGAGGCTGAAACATACCGATACCTGGGTATGTCACAGAACATTGGTATCGATGAGGCTGGTATGAAACAGTCAGTTTGCGACGTGTTTTATGCACGCTTGACCAAAGTGCTTAACAGCCTTTTGTCCGGTGTGAATAAGACACAAGCATATAACGGCTGGGTCATACCTGTCCTCATGTATACCTTTGGCATACTCAGGTGGACTCAGACTGAACTTAACGCCCTGGATAGAAAAGTCCGCACTACCATGACGTCCCACAGGATGCATCATCCGAGATCGTCGGTAATGAGGCTGTACTTGCCGCGAAAGCATGGTGGGCGTGGCTTCTTGAGCGCGCTCACCATGCATAATCGCGAAGTGTGTAGCCTCCGTAATTACTTCCTGGCGAGATCGGATGATCCATTCTATAAGGACGTCATTTCTTGTGATAAAGGACTTACCCCTCTATCCTTAGCCAACGAGCAATGGCAAGACCCGGCAGTGCAGACAATTTCCGACCGGGAGACCGTATGGAAGGAGAAGGAGCTCCACGGGAGGTTCTACAAGTCTCTACATGGGCCTTTCGTAGACACAGTAACCTCTCTCCACTGGCTACGCTTTGGTGACCTCTTCGGGGAAACCGAGGGTTTTGTCTGTGCAATACAGGATCAGGTTATTAAGACCAACAACTATCGGAGATACATCCTAAAGGATGGCACCATCGACATCTGTCGAGCTTGTCGCCATCCCGGTGAGTCACTTAGGCATGTCATCTCCGGTTGTTCGGCGCTTTCTAACTCTGAGTACTTGCACAGGCACAACCTAGTAGCCAGAATTCTACACCAGGAGCTCGCTCTGAAATACGGTTTCGTGGATCGGAAGTTGCCGTATTACAAGTACTTGCCGGAAGCCGTGCTCGAAAATGATCGCGCCAGGCTCTATTGGGACCGGGCCATCATCACAGACAGGACTATTCTTGCGAATAAGCCTGATATTGTGCTGATGGACCGGGCACAGTCAAGGATATTTTTGGTCGACATTACCATTCCGTGTGACGAGAACCTCGTGAAAGCCGAAACAGATAAGCAAACAAAATATCTGGACCTGGCTCACGAGGTGACCGACATGTGGGGTGGTCTGCCGACCGAAATTATTCCTGTAGTCGTCTCTGCAAACGGGCTAATCCCAGTCAGCCTCTCGGGTCATCTGAGGCGGCTGGGACTACGTGGCGGACCGCTCCAGGCTCAAATGCAGAAGGCGGTGCTCCTCGATACCGCCCGCATCGTCCGCCGGTTTCTTTCCCTTTCCCCCTAACCCTCGGCCGTTTGGTCTTCCCCTGCCGAGGGCTTCCATCTGGTTGGGCTTTTATTTATTTATGTATTTTCATATTTATTTTATTTTATTGATATTTTTGTATGTTTATCTTTTCATTTTCGTTTATAATTATATATTTATACATCCCAACCAGATGAGAAAACTATATAGATACCCCACACATAATAATAATCATCATCATCATCATTACAGCCCTTCACAAGTCCACTGCTGAACATAGGCCTCCCCCAAGTAATGCCACAAAAGCACGGTCCTGAGCCACCTGCATCCATCGACTTCCTGCATGTCTTACCAGGTCGTCACTCCATCTAGTGGGGGGTCGCCCCACACTACGCCTACCGGTACGAGAGACTGCCACTCGAGAACCCTTTTTCCCCATCAGTTATCGGTTCTTCGAGCTATATGGCCGGCCCATTGCCACTTCAGCTTACTAATCCGTTGGGCTATGTCGGTCACTCTGGTTTCACTGCGGATATCCTCATTTCTGAGTCTATCACGCAGTGAAACTCCGAGCATAGCCCTCTCCATAGCTCGCTGAGCGACCTTGAGCGTCCTCATACGGCCAGCGGTGAAGGACCACGTCTCAGATCCGTACGTCATCACTGGCAACATAATAATAATAATAATAAATGATGCAGTCAGTACAAAATTTTAAAAATGAATTTTTTGTAGCATATGTTTCAAGTTAACAAATTCTCAACGCAAATAGATTTTACAATATCAATATAAATAAAACTTTAAAAATCTGTGGATAAGAAACTAATTTCAAGAAAAATGTATTTCTTTCAAATTGACAACTGTCATCTAAGAAATTTTACAAACAGATTTATAAAATATTTAATTTAACGTTACATTATGCATCGAACGAGACGACAAATACGAATAAATACCGCCAATACCACAATCGCACACGTAACATCGCCTACGGAGGGCTACACATCCATGGAATGTAATCCAAGAGGCACAAGAAGAACCCCTGTACCATCTTTGAGGGGACGAAGAGCGCCAGCGGCTGGCTTGGGACCTGCAGGAATTACCATCCTACATGAGGACCCCGCTACTGATGGTGTAGTGCGACGACGCATGCGCTGGACTAAAGAATTAAATATAAGTGTTATGCGCGCGTACTATAAGGCTACCAAAGGAGGAACCAATCTTACATCTTATCGCCCTAAAATGCTGTCTGAATTCCAACAGCTACAACCCAACCTAACAAACTTAACTGCCCAAAGACTTTCAGATCAAGTACGTGTAATTCTAAGTCGTAAGATTTTGGACGACAGATTAATTGAACAACTTTGGAGTGAGTACTCAACATCTACTATCAATTCAATTCCTGATTCCCAACGAACACTTCCAGGTGAGACTGATGACTTAAATGTAAATAACAGTAACCATAATATAAATATTACTAACTTAAATAACGAAAAAGTAGAGCAAAATTGTTTTGATATAGATGTGACTTCCCAAGACAGCGAATATATGAAAAGGACTTTCGAATGTTCCCTTCTGGAATATAAAAATACACCAATAGAAAATAGACCGAAACTACCTAAACTTCCTAACAACAAAAAAACTATTCTAACAGTAGCATCAATGAATATTCTATGTAAAGATTATTTTGAAAAAAGTAACTCTATTTTGGAAACTATGTCTCTTCTATACTTTTGTGCCCATGCTATATGTATGATAATGAAAATTCCTGTCATTTCAGTACAAAATTTTAAGAAAAATAATACAGAACCTAAATGGAAACAAAGAATTCAAAAACGAATTGACAATACTCGCAAAATTATAGGAAAATTAATAAGCTACCAAACAGGTAACAGACGTAAAAAAATAATTACTTTAGTAAATCAAATCGCTACCTAATGAAAATGATATTAACCAATCAGATCCCCATTTTCCGGATAAAATTACTGAATTCATTGATACACAAAAACAAAAGTTAAAAGCATGGGCCAACCGTATTAGACGATATTCAGAAAGATCTAAACGGTACTTCCAGAATCGCACATTCGAAAGTAACCAAAAGTGGGTGTATCGGTCTTGGGAGAACACTACAACTAATAGTTGTACTCATGGCAGCCCAAGCTTAAATGAATGTCTAAATTTTTGGAAAAATATATGGTCTAACAAAGTTTCTCATAATGAAGGCGAATGGATTCGTGCAACCGAACGTAAGTTTTCTAATTTGGCTAACATAGGTTCTATTTCAATTACTGCTGAAGATGTAAACTCAATTACTCGTAGATTACACAACTGGAAATCACCTGGACCAGATGGTATACACAACTTTTGACTGAAATGGATAACAAGTAGCCATGTGCGTTTGGCTGCACAGATTCAAGAAGCCATTGAGTGCTGTGAGCTCCCGAGACTTCTTACAACTGGTATTACCCACTTACTATATAAAAATGGAAACACCACGGAACCTAAAAATTACCGACCAATAACATGCCTTTCAACTGTATACAAATTAATAACTGCAATTTTGAATAAGAAGATCTATAAACATTTGGAAAATAATAACATTCTTTCAACTGCACAGAACGGATGTCGGAAAGGGTCACGTGGTTGTAAAGAACTTCTTCTCATTGACACAGCTATTTGCCGACAAGTCTTTCGTAATCGCAAAAATATGTCCGCTGCTTGGGTGGATTACAAAAAGGCATATGACTCTGTTCCACATTCATGGCTAAAGAGAGTTTTAGAAATATATAAAATAGATGACAAAATTTGTAAGTTTTTAAGTAAAGTAATGGGTCAGTGAAACACTGTCCTAAATCTACCAGGTGAGTGGCAAAGTAGTTCGATAGACTCTAT